CACACACTTCATACTCATTCTACTCTGATTCACGTATGGTGTTGATCGATGTACCAATGGTAGTGTCGATCGATGGTGGATTGATCATGTCGATCGATGGTTTATGGTCAGTGTTGATCGATGCTTCTTCTGCTAGGGCTTTATCGACTTCATCTCTAAATCTCAACCCTCTCTGTGAAACTTTTACGTGCTGATGATCATCTAATACTCCACTATAGGAACTTAACTCCATACTTTTATCTGGTGGGATAGGAGATTCAGCCTCAAACACCGCATTTGGAACCAGAATCTTAACAGGATCATGTATCCTTTTCATTCTTTTGTGAAACCCATCAGCTTCTTCTGTCCAAATAGGTAGTCTCTGATGTTTAGGGACAGTAATGTGTGAGGCTTCAAAATTATTCACTATCTCCTCAACTGGTTCCAGCTTGACTATGTATCCTAGCAGTTCATCCAACCATTGTTGTCGATCGATACAATCGGGTGGGTGTCGATCGATGCAGTCGGATGTATGTAGATCGATGATGTATGGCGACTGTCGATCGATGTCGTAAGGTGGATGTATATCGATGATGCAGGGAGGGTATCGATCGATCTCATCAGGTTGGTGTCGATCGATGCTAGCCTTTGATGAAGTCTCTCCATCTTTCCTCTTAGCATTCTGTCTGTCATCAAACTTCTGCTCCAAATTCTGATCTATATCCTCAAGCCATTCCTTCAGCTCCAAGAAGTCTTCTATAGTAACTTCTTTACTTGAATCCAAATCTCCAAGATCCTATCCATTCTCTATGTTTACATCCAGGGAAGGAGAAGAACTTGATACATCAGTGCTCGTCTGTTGCGAGTCTGCAGTGTCCTAAAGACAATTCAAAGTTTCAAGGATTTCAAGTGGTATCGATTGATGACCAAAATCTTTATCGATTGATTCTGAGATGCTGGTGTCGATTGATGATGTTGTGGTGATGATCGATGTTGCAGTCGTACTGTCGATCGATGCTAAGGAACTGGTGACGATCAATGTGGAGGTCGGATCTTTAATATCAGATTCTTCTACTCTGCTCAGTTCTCCAGACTCATCTTGTTCATCCTCCTCAAACAAACTATGGTTGACCAGATATTTTATGTTCAGTTCACCCCTCTGCGTACCCTCATGTGCAAGTTGAACCTGAATGTCTAACTTGTTGATGTGGGTGCTAATGGTTTCACATTCTTTCTTTGGCTCAATGTAGACAATCATCCTTTCATGATCGAATCGAGATCTAAATTCCTCCTCACTAGCTTTAGTAATCTCGTTAAGCTTCTTTTGTCGCTCTGCTGCACCCTTATAGAGAAATTTGTTGAGGAAGACAATTTTGATGTCCTCCCAGCTGGTTAAAGATCGTGGCTGCAGCTGACTGAACCAGCTAAACGCATCTCCGGATAGTGAATAGGGGAAAATCTTGCAGAGAATGTGGTCTGCAGATATTACTTTATGTTTGGTTGCTGAGACTACCTTCTCAAGTATCTTGATATGATCTCTGGGGTCCTCATAAGGAAGACCTTGGAAAGGGTCTTCGCTTACCCAATCATACCACTGGCTACTAAGATCAAAGGTATCCATTTCTGGAAAAGAAATTACATCAGAAATTATTGCTTCTTCTCCATTAATCAATTGTCCTTTAATGTTGCAAGGAAGACCTCCTTTGTCTCGCCAGATACCCTTCTTATCGATCTTAAGTATAAGCTCGTCAACCTTTTCTGCCTCAATACACGTGGTGTTGGTCGTCGGATGAACATGGCCACGATGAGCAGTGTCTCGGTGAACAGTATCGACCGATGATGAAATCATGGTATCGATCGATGACGGGCGAACGATATCGTTCGATATAAAGATCGTGGCATCGGTCGATGTAGAAGTTATGGTGTCAACCGATGTAGACGTCATATCACCAGTATTGTTTTCTTTTTCATCATCCTCCACCACATATCTTGTTATTGACTCCATTTTTAAATTTTCTGAAGTGTCATAGAGAAATTCGTTGAAGAAGGCTTCCGCGATATCAATCTATGTTTTGAGGGACTCTGGTGGAAACTCTTTGAACCAACGTCTTGCTTCTCCAACAAGAGTGAAAGGAAAGAGTTTGCAGAAGTGGTAGTCTTCAGTGGCTTCATCAAAGATATACCAGATTAGGTCTTCAAACATATCAGTATGAACTATTGGTTGCTCGTCATGATAACCATGAAGGAGACGCTGACTTATAATAAGGATGTACTCAAGAAGAGTCTCGGTCGACACAGGATGGGCGGTGTCGATCGATTTTGCGTACGCAGTATCGGTCGACGCGCGATTAGCTGTGTCGATCGAGTTTGAGATAACAATATCAGTCAACACGGGATGTACCGTGTTGATCGATTTCGGGTGGGCAGTATCGGTCGACGCGGTGTGAGCCATGTCGATCGATTTCAGGGGAACAGGGGTTTTGTAATTTTGCAAAGGCAATTTTATTTCTTCACCTTTGTTCAAGTTGGAATGGATTGTAACAGAGATTTTGGTCCCATGTTTATTTTTATTTTGGTTAATTGCATTGCTTATTTTACTTATTGGTTCAATTTGGACTACTTCCTGTAACATATGTGTTAACAGAAAACTTACCTGCTCCCAGCGAGTCTTTGTCGATCAATTGATGGTGTGCCTTATCGATCGATGTCTGGTGTACACTGTCGATCGATTCTTCTTGGAGGGTGTCGATCGATAAGCGTGAACCAGCAGGCTCCTTCCTTGAAGGAACTAGAAATCCTCTCTTCATTGATCCTGGTACTGAGATGTATGTACCTGGAAAAGAAGAAAAAATTTATCAGTATTTTAAAACAGTAACAAAACCTAGACTAAATCTAACTAGATAAGATCTAATGGCGATCAAAGCTCCCCGGCAACGGCGCCAAATTTGATATCACTCAAATGTTTAACCCTAAGAAGTGAATTACTCTCATCAAAAGAGGTTCAATTGTAGTACTTAGGGATCGAATCCACAGAGAGCTAAGGCACACACTAGATATAATAGTTATAATTAAGCTAGGTAATCAAATAATAAAATAGAACAGCAAAGAATAATAAATAAAGCAGTAAACAAGTTGAACAAGGTAAATTGTTCAGCTTGGCAAGGAGTTGTTTATGGAAGGTTGGTTGCTAGATCTAGGGTTTTTATTCAGGTAATCAGGATTATAATGCTATAGATTCCTAACAAGTTGCATGCATAATATTAAAGAGCTTCAACTCTTAGATAAATCCAATAGCTTTTGCTAAATAGACTCGTCTGTTGACCTAATTGCCGACGATATCGATCGATGTTTGACAGCTTGTATCGATCGATATATGTGCCGTCGATCGATTACTCTATAGGAGCATCGATCGATATAGCTTTAGATCGAGTTGAATGAGTGCCCACCAAGATCTTAGATCGGCTCTCGCGTATCCCTAGAGGACCTTAGCTTGTACAAGATGAGATTAGGATGATGATTAATGAATTAATCAATTCCAGTTCATGGTTCTAGTTCATGACTCTAGAAACAAGCATTAAGGTTCATCATGAAAATGAATATCACAATTTAGAAATCTATAGTTGGGGCTAATCCCACAACCTATCTGAACCCTAAATCCAACAGGTGGATCTATTCAGACATGAAAATTGTCACAGAAATCATAGATGAATAGATATAAAACTGAAATAGAATAGATATAAAAACAAATGGAGTTTCAGGAGGAATCTGATAGGAGTTCCTCCCTTCTCTCCTAACAAAAGAATAGAACTTAGAAAAGCTTAGATAGATCTGCCGTCAACAATGGCTTAGAAATAACATAAATAGGGTTTCAAGTCGTTAAGGGTATTTTGGTAACTTCTGGGCCTCAGTCGGTCATGAAATATACTCGGCCCGCATTCTGGCATCCATATCAATCGATATGAAGGCTTTCCCATCGATCGATATACATTCTTCTTCTCGACAGCCTTCTCTCGCGAGGCAGACTGACCACTCTTCAGTATAACGGGCATAACTTCTGATCTAACGGTTGGATTGACCTAAAACAGGTGGAATTGGAAAGCTAACTCAAATATCTATCTTGTGTCAAAATATCAGATAATTCTCACCATGGGAAGGTCTCCATCCATATCTAAACATCTGACGCGTCTGCGCAGTTCTGCACTTAAAGGCTCCAAAAGACACCAAAATCACCATATTTCTCCAGAACGTACTTGAACCTGTAAATACTCTAAATAGACTCTATATTGTAGTAAATATATATGAAAACACCTATAAACCATGTCTAAAATTGGGTAAAATCCATGGTCGATCATATTCCACGACACTATGGTTAAACAAGGCGTGTCAATCCTCATTTGCCACTGCTCTATCCAGTTTGCATTTAAATTTCCCGCTTTTTCTTTTTCCTACTGAGAATGAGTTTCCTTTATATGGAAAGTCGAGCATCCCACAGTTTTCTAACATGATTCGGAAGGGAAGGAAAGAGCTTTCTAAGCGACGTTGTCCTCCCCTTTTCTCATGGTTACCTGTGAGCTCATTGAAATCCCCAATCTTGAACCATGCCCCACTTCGAGTGGTACTCATGCATGATAATCGTTCCCAAACCAAATCTCAGTATCTGACATCAGGGTCTCCATTAACAAAAGTCATAAAAATTTCATGTCCTTCAAGTTTTGTTTTAATATCGATCATATGTTCGTCCGCATATAAAATACAAACCGAGGGATAATCCATATAAAAAAAAAATAGACCTCTGCTTCGACCAACCGGGTCCACGGTACAAACATGGTCATAACCAAAAGAAACTTGCACATCTTGCAAAAAATTCCGATTGTTTTTGGTCTCCGAAGGAAACAAAAACTTAGGTGAAAAATAGTTGTACAATTCATTGAGGTGCTCCTTCGGCAAGGTGGCTCCCGCACCTTGGGAATTCCACGCAATCGTGTTCATCTTGGGATTTTTGGTGGTTTCTGAATCCCCACCTTTGTTGCTTTGATTTGGTTTTTGGAGGCCTCTTTTGTCGGTTTTTCCAGGCCTGGAACGGAGGTCCTGTCCAAAGAGGATGCAAGGCCAGGAGAAAGCCCATTTGTGGTTTTTGTTGAGGCTGCAGCTCTTGGTGAGGCCCGGCCCAACAGAAGATTCCTTTTTTTTAGAGAAAGCCCAGCTGCAATTGGGCTTGGAGTTCCCTTCTTCCTCGATGTCGAAGTCCTGGCTCTGGTCGGCGGCGTACGGATGAGGCGGCCCTTTCCTCCTTTTTTCTCAGCTTCCAAACCTCTCAGGGCATGTGGAGACTCTGTCTCCGGGCTTCCTTTCCACCAGCTAGGTGTTTCTGAGGTCCTTGGTTCCTTAGACTTCGTAGCTTCCGACTCCAGCGTATCCTCTTCCTCTTCCAACAACAGATCATCCTCATCCATCAGATCATCATCCCCGTAGTTCCCCTCCTCTTCTTCTTCCGCCCAGTCCTTCTCCTCCAGAATCTTCTCAGCCTCTGGATCTTCGACCTCCATGTTCTGGTCCTTTAGAGTTTTGTCTACGGTTTGTCTAGCACACTGATTCTTTGAAATCTCTTCTTCCTCTGTTTGCTCATACCAACTTTTTTGGATGATATTCCACGGATCAGGTGAGCTGGTGAAATGGCATTTCGTGAGGGAGGGGGTTTACCATCATCGACCTTTAGGCTCTTCTTTGCCGAGCTTTCAGCATCAGATGAGTCTTCCAGGTATGTAACTTTTCCCTTTAGTTTTGGCTCATTTGATGAAATTCTTTGTAGAGAGAGCTTTGAAGGTCTTTCTCGTAGATGTTCAGGGGAGGAAGAAGTGTAAAGAGCACCAGCAACGATCTCCCTATCAGCTTTGAGCGTGGGGATTGTCTTAGGGGGTTCGATAAAACGATCCGTATCATGTTCTTTTGAAGGCAGAACCTGGTTGCTTCCAGTCTGTTGATCAGCCTCAGCTTTATGGGTCAGTTCTGCTCTGCCCTCTGAGCATTTTCCTTTTTCTCGTTGTTTTCTGGAGTAGTAGGAATCATCATAGCGTCGCTTGTTATAAGCTCCACTGTCTTAATTTTTATTACCATATGATGACTTATTACGCTCCATAATTTCTCTGCCTCTAGGATAACGATCAGGACGAAACTCAAGATAGTGTTCATCAGGGGATTTGAACCGGGAGTCCATGCGTTTCCACACACTGTCCCTGGTGTCCCTATGAGAATCAGCCATTATCTGTTTGTCCTGGGAACCTCCTGCCTTCCCTTCCATAATAGCAGGTCTCCTTGAGGGTTCACCAATTCGATTAGTGTTTTTTTCTAGTAGGTTTTTCTTGTTCTCTTTCAGCTTCTCTTGATTGTTTGAATGTTCTTCAGAGAGTTCCGGGCAAGAGTCTTCGTGGGAGATATGACGACAGTGAAAGCACCAACGGTGGAGGATGACATACTCCAGTTTCATTGTTATGATTTCCCCAAACGGGATTTGTGCTCTTAGAGCAAAATTCAGAGGTAAATCAACATTGATTTGAACCTGAAACTTGGCAGATTTGGCTTCAATTAGACCAACAGCACCTAGTCTTTCACCAAGGGTTCGGAAGATAGGTTCAAGCCAGAAGTGGGTGGGAATGCCTGTAGCACAAATCCAAAAGGTCATAGTGTTTGGGAAGATATCCCCAACATGAGGAGCCCATCTTTCCAGCGAGAAGGACCATTTGTTGAAGTGACAAGGTCTTTTGTTTAGGACCTTCAGCAGATCCGCTTCAGACTCGAAATCAAACTGAAAGCGGTGATTTCCCAAGTCTAGGCCACACACTCTCCCCTCCACATCCCAAATGTTTGGTCGTGGGAGAAGGGAGATTAGCGCTTCGTCGTTCCTTCGATCGCGGTTGAAGAGCCTCCCAACAAGACTAAGCTTGAACTGAGCAATGAGTTCAGAGTTGTCAACATCAGGTAAAATAACCAGATCTTCATCATCTTTTACAAGGTACTGGTTGGAGCTATGCGAAAGCTTGTTTGTGTTTTTAGACATGACTGAATCTTGTTTGCAGAAAGAGTGAGCTATATGGTGGAAATTTTGAAATTTTGAGCAATAATTTTGCAGAAGCTGCCTTCCTTTGTAGGAGCTGGGACCTAACAAAGGCAAAGAGGGTAGTTAAGGAGAGGAGGGGCTGGATCTCGCTTTTATAGCAGAGACCAAAACACTGTCAAGAAGTGTAGGTCAGCTGCAAAAACCGGTTCCATTCTTTGTCTGAGATTCAGAAACTTTCAAAGTCTTGCGGAGAGGGTTAACAGTCAAGGCTGTTGGTGGTGTTGAACTCTCTATGAAGCAGGTAAGGTAAAGAAAGCATGAAGACGCCGCGGGAAGAGGTGTTGAGGGGAGTTTTAACCGAGCATCCCTTCACTGGAGAAGGTTGGGAACATCGAAAGCCGGCTTTTCTGCATTTTTCCGGCGAGATCTACCCAAGAGACCATTGGTTAAAGATGGGAGTGGTAAAAATTTGAAAAAAGTTTAAGGTTGCAGGTTTTTTTTTGGTAGAAAAAAGGAAAGAAACGTTGGGTAAAGGGGGTGCTTGAGAGAGAAGTCAGCGGTTAAAGACTTCCATCACAAATCGTGCCTTAAGACCTGCGGACCACCGTTTGCCTATCAAATCACTCTTAAATGGAAGAGTTACAACTTGTAGTTGGGGTAGTAAATCATTATTACACAAATTAAATTACTTTTCATTTATTATCCCCTATTTTTCTTCATGAATAATATATTTATTTCTTAAAAGGTTTGCATAGTTTCATATATTTAGACTATCAAAATTGTTACACTTATCTAATTGTTAAACGTTTTCTTAGTTTCATATATTTAGACAATCTAACTATGCAGTTTCACTTAGTTTTAAGAAGTTATTTATTTTTATCATTTAAAATTTTACAAAGTTTTAAATCCAACGCATGCGACTGTTGCAGAGTCGTGCCTTCTCGAGACCTCCATCAAATCACCCTTAACTGTCGTGATAAATACAATCTTATCTCTTCTCCACTGTTGAGGATCATCGCTATTATAAAAGGGTTTATCATGTTGTCCAAATAAAGAAAAAGTTAATCTTTCCATTTACGTGATAAAATAAATATCTCTCACCATGTAGAACTCTAACTTGGCTTCTCTCTCTCCTTCCATGCTTCACAAGATTCTCTCTAAGGTAGCAACAAACCATCTTTGGGACTTCGGTAGTGCAAGAGTTGCATTACCCGCCTTCAGTTAAACTGCCAGAGAAGAATACTTCTACAAATCTGCAGATCTTATTCACTTTTATGACTGGATTGATGAGGTTAATGTTGTCAGAACATACATGCTTAAGTGCTACCAAGCCGGTAATCCATAGGCAATCTACATGCGAGGTATGTATGAGTTCTTTGTCCTCTATTTATTTGATCAAGGAAGGGAAAAAATTCGTTTTGCTGGTGAGAGGGGATTTTTGTTGGCCAAGTATGTTGATCATATGCTCAACTTAGCATTTCGTTTTGATGATAGAGGACTGGTTCACAACTTTCCTACTTTTACACGTGAGTTTGGTGATCAGATGAATCACATGCTTGCTACTGAGGTATCCTCAGGTCATTGGGGTTACGAAAAACCACAGATCTTTATGTCTCTATTAGAAAAGATAGATCTCAACATCAATTATAATTGATGGTGCGCGGAAATGATGCAACCAGTGTTTGTTGTCACCTTAGATGGATCAAGAACACAGTGGAAATGCAATGATATTCATTTGAACGCTTATTAGTGGCCAATTGAAGATTAGGGATGAAGTATTTTCGTGTGTTTATAAGTTATTTATAAGTTATGCAGTTTTCTAAACTTTATGTAAAATACATTTCTTTTAATGTAATGTCTTTAGTTTTTATTTATTTTAGTTTCACTAAATATATCAGTAACATAATGCAAATGAATAATTGTAATCAGAGCTGAATCGATATGTTATTACTAAATATATCAATAACATATTGCAAATACATGATATAATCAAAAATTAGGTGAAGGTTTACTAAGTTGTATAGTTACTACAAGTGTGAATTAGTTCAACTTAGATTACAGTTATACTTACACGAAGTTATATAATTACACAAAATTTTAGTAATGCTTCTGAAGTTATGGACACTGGAGATCCGAATTATATGATTCGGGTCTGGATGGTTCGTGAAATACCCCTGACTGCCTAGAAATTATTCGAGTTTTTTTCGCTTTTCTGGTCTTTTACTAAATTTTCTTATTTAAATAAATATTTATTTGGATTTATTGGGGGTAAATTTCGGACATGAGTATTTGAGAATAAAATTTCTCGGGCAAGGATACTGGATTCCGTAATATAGCTATCTTCTCCTTCTTTGACCTAATTATTTTCTCTTTCGTAGCTACCATTGTTGCCACCAAAATTTTCACTGATTTCTCACAAAATCAACCGAATTCTTCACTAAATTAACTAAATTTCTTCACAAAACTTTAGATCTGTTATAAACACAAGTTTTTGACCAAAAAAAAAAACAAAATTTTTTAATTTTTTTTTATGCGTTATTTCATATTGGTGAAATCCCCACGGTTCATCTCTGCCAAACGTATAAGCACCAAGTCTAGGCCATGATTTAGAACATGAGTGTAAAGATATTGAGTAATAGATACAAAGAGAGAAAAAGCGTTTCCATCGGTGATGTAGGTTTGGAGCTTCAACAGCGTCTGACACATTTGAGGAGATAATAAAAAAGACATAGTTAGGTGATTTTTGAAAAGGTAACTAGATGCAAGTTTAGTTATGTGATTTTTCAAACAAACAAACAAGGGAAAGTTAAATAAAAGTATCCTAGTAGTGAAAAGTGTCTTACACTGTAATAAAAAAAAAAAAGATGAAATGTGTTCTATAATGTAAATCTTTCTTTAATCAATTTGTTCCCCTCCCTCATTTACCTTGGATTTGTTTTTAGGCGCCGGACTGTACACTTCATCACAGTTCTCTATCTCAAACCGATCCTGAACTTCCAAAGCATGCTTTGATTAAGATATATGAATCCCATCTGATGTCAATAGTACTTCAATTTCTAAAAAGCATACCATCTTTCCAAGATCAGTCATGTCGAACTCCTCTGCATTAACAACTTTAAAAATTCTCCCATCAATGACACAGTGTTTCATGTATAAGATCATTCACATAAATACTCACAAGTAGAATGTTACCTTGCTTATTCACTTTGAAAAAACAAGGTCTCTTCATTATGCGACTTCCGGAAACCTTCTTTGATGAACTATTCTTCAATTCTGATAACCAACTTTTTCGAGCTTGCTTTAATCCATATAAAGTGTTGTGAACTTTGTAAAATTTGTCTTCACTCTCTTTAATCATGTATCTCTTTGGTTGTTATACGTATATGTCTTCCAAGAGAACTCTACGGAGAAAGGTTGACTTTCCATCTAGTTGATAGATGTTCCAAGCTTTTTGTGATGTAGTTGCTAGGACCGTTCTAAAATCTATCCATCCGAGCCACTAGTACATTAATGAAAAATATGACTTCTTCAATGGAAATCTAGAGAAACGAAGGAAGTCTTTGGTCTTCTTCTGTTCTTTGTGCCAAAACTTTCTCCACCGAGGATGAGGCACAATTCAGCTGGCAATTGACTCCCAGTGAATTCAGATATATCTACATACCCATAGCAAGTAGCTCCACTGATACATGTACTACATTTTATGCTTGACTTTATTTCTATTTGCAGATATGGATTGGCCGGCGCAGTTTTATCAAATGATTTGGATAGGTGTGATAGCGTTAGTAAGATATCTGATTTACTATAAGTAAATAACATCAGTAACTTCATCTCTTTGGGGCTATGAATCCTGATCATTGTGTTTTTCAGGCATTGGAGGTGGAAATTGTGTGGGTCAACTGCTCTCAACCATGCTTCTGCCAATCTCCATGGGGTGGAACCAAATGCAGTAGTTTTGGCCGAGAGTTAGAAGAATTGTAAGTATCATTTGATTATGAAGATTACCACAACGTAACACACAATCTCCAACTGATTATAAGTTGTGTCATGATAACTTCATCACATAAAATGACAAACTGTATTGGTCTTTGGTGTTGGATTGAAACATATTTGCTTTATTGCAGGGGAACTGAGAAGTGAGAACTACTTGAGTGGGTAACAGGTGACTCAGTATATCTCTAATGAACCATGGGGATGGTATTATATGTTACATACAACTGGCATCAGGAATAAAACAAAAGATGATTTCTACATAGCCTACAGTGACTGCAATAGCACAGAGGTTGTGCAAGCTGCATCTAAAATTGTAGGATTTCTGCAGTTACAATTGTGTGGAGAAACTAAATCCACAGTGGTCAAAACGAAATGTTCACAGGTAAAAGAAGAAGAAAATCTCTAATGGTGTTGTTGTGATGTATTTGGTAATGGATTCTTCTGCGTGACTTCGCTGTACCATGACTTCCAAGCGTCCATGTAATGTGCAAAGAGGTCTTTCAAAACTGAAAGTTTAATTAAAAAGCTTTGTTTGCATGTTTGTTTTAATAGCAAAATCTTCTCAAACATCAAATGAATGTGAGTGACATATATTACCTTGGTTCTGGTAAGAAGGACGGTAGTCAGAAACCAGATTCTCAACATCAAAAGCTCTCTTGGAGTTGTCCTCCAAAGAAGCAGTTGGATATGTACCAGTGGCTGGTGAAAAAGGACCAAACTCATAACCTCTTGATCCATGAGCATCAAAGGTTTGGTTATAAGAACTCTCTGCAACTGCATGTTTTTTCATCCTCCTCTCGGTAGCATGTTCATGGGTTTTGGTTCTCTTGACACTGACGTTTGTGAGATCGGTTCCAAACACTCTTTTCTTTGATTCGGCTTGCATCAAATCGCTGCTCAGTGTGAAAGTAGGCTCGCAATTGTATCCTAACCATTTGAAAGCTGGTTTTCTAGAATCTAAGGTGTGAGTCTGTCAACAGGAAAACAAATAGTAAGACCAATTTACATGTAAAGATCATTGATGGTTCATAAAATACTGCAGCTATAGTAGTAGTTTTAGTTTACCTTCTCAAGGAGATTCATTGATGACAATACATTCGCAATATCATAAAGCCGCCTCACTTTTGCTGCAGAAATGTAATCAATGTGACAACAAGAGTATGCAGAATAAACAAAAGAGTCTTAAGCTCACAAGATGAAGATAATTACTTCTCATAATTGATGTATTGTGGGCATCTCCAAGCAGTAATTTTGCAGCCTCGTCAAGGGAGATGATCCTAGGCTAACATTCAACCAAATGTATAAGTAAATTAATGAATAAAACTCTTAGTTTGTAAAAATCGAATCTCTAACATGTCACTTACTTCAGAGCAAACAAAGAGCTTGATAAAGTTCTGAGTAAGCAGTCCTAAAGATTTCTCTCGTCGATTATCTGTGACACATGACCAAGTAACTAACCAACCAAAATGCCAGGGATTCCACATTATATCTCATGAATCTTCTTATCTGTTATTTGGCCTAGTGAACATAGAACTTGGTACTTGACACACACAGAAAGTACCTATTTTGGAGGAATCTGAAGATTGGGGAAGATTTTGAGGTATCAGTCTGACTACTAGAATGAGGCTGAGAAGAAGACTCTTCCTCATCATCTTCATCATCAGATACCTGAAATATAGCATAAGAAATGAATTAAGACAACAACTAGAATACTTAAACAGAGACAAACCCCAATCCAAATGCCACCTACTTTGACATTCTCATTTAAATAAAAACGGTGAAAAGTGTCCTTAGCCTCTTCTTCCTGCATCAGGAACAGCACTACCTATGAGGAATATGCAAATCAAAGTCTATACATTTTGTAAAAGAAACTCACTTGTAGTTCCTTTAACGCTGCTGGAATCGCAGAAAACCCTTTCCACGTATACTGATTCTTAGCTCTTTTTGTTAAAACCTAAAAGTTTCAATCAGATTGTGAAGAAACTGTGGAAAAGGAAAGGCAGTGAAGAAGGAAACAAAAACTCTACCCCAACACTCTCCAGAACATTAACAATATCGTAGATTCTTCGCCTCTCAACACCTGGAGACAAAACACAATCAAAAACAGACCCAAGCAGAAATGGAAAAAAATCTGAAACTGGGTAAGGGGAAAAAACCTAATTTTGAGGCGGCGTCATCAAGCCCAATGGTTTCGATTCCATCACGATTGTACAGAGCTAAGAAACTGAAGAAGAAGAAACACGATTGTTACTCAAATACGCAAACTTGGATTCTAGGAGAAAGGAACTGACTTGGTACAAAGCAGTCCCAGAGATTTCTGCTTCTGACTGTAAGAATGGTGTAGAGAGGAAGTGAGCGGCAGCCCCAATTTGGGGGTTTCCGGCGGCAGATCTGACATTTTCGTGACGGAGTCAATTGATTGATTGATGATTTGGGAGGGATTTAAGGAAATTGGATTCGAAATAAATGGAGGGAAGATACGTTGAAAGTTGAAAACGTGAGTGCCAATTTGAATTTTACTTGTTTTGGTTGGGTCCTCCTTCCTCTCCCTTCCCAAAAACACTCCCCCCCCCCCTCAAATCTAGTAAAGCTGTTCCCCCTTACGGTTCTGTGGTCGGTTCTGGTCTGAATTATCAGTTGTTTTCTAATTTTATTTTCCCGGTTTGAAAATTTTGTTTTAGCATATTTACGGTTCAGATCGACGCATTTACGAACCTAAAAGTACATTTTGAATTTACTAATTTAATCTATTTTTATGTTCATTTCGGAAAAGAAAAAATGTAAGTTGCTTTGGTTTCGTACAGTGTGCTAGGTTTAAATCTTGATTAGTATTTTTATATTTGACTTTGTAAAATTAAATCTTTCTGGTTTTATAAAGTTTTATGCGAGTAGTTATATGAGATTCAGTCAGTTTAATTGAAAATAGTCATACCTGAGAATAGGTTGAGTGTGGATCGACACTCACCAAGTTTTGCTCGATGCTTATGTAAAAGGGGGTATCGACCAACACTGGCCAGGTGTCAGTCGATGCTAGTACTCAACTCGTTTCCTCTCTTTTTCTTTTCTCTGAATGGTGTCGCTCAATGCTGTTACATTGTCATTCGACACACTGTTTAGAGTGTTGTCGATTAACATTCTCTTTAGAGTGTTGTCGGTTGTTGTTTGGAGGGTGTCTTTCGACACTAATCTCTTAGACTTACTGATCACACGACTAAACTCTTTCTCTTGGTGCTGCTGATGCATCTGAAACACTAGCGAAAACAGTAAGTAAACAAATAAAATAAATACTTATACTAAACTCTACACCTACAACTAGTCTAATGGTGAATGAATCAGTCCCTTGCATCGGTGTACAATTTGATATGCTCAAATTAATCTCAACCAACTCTCTCAAATAAGAGTGTCATTGTAGTTATAAGGATAGAATCAACAAAGACTGAGGATCGCACAATAGATTTATGGTTTCAAGCTAAGCTAAGCCAGAAAGTAGAAAGTAATAAAGTGAAAGCGATAAATTGATATATATAAGGATTAAGCGTTAGATGCAAAGGATTTATCAAACAAGAGATTCAAAACATATATCAATAGATGCCAAGGGTTTGTAAGGTTCAATTCTAAAACTTGTATACAATAAGTAAGTTTCTCAGCTCTCGCTGCAGAAGACTACCAGATGACTGACTGTTCAGTGTTCAGTCCGCATATAAATTCTTTTGTATTGAATATGACAGCACATCTATTCATACACATGAAATGTTGTTGTATGGTATGTATGAAGTAAACATTTATTCTAGATATAGATTTACTCTTAGCTGAGCCAAAGAGTTACCAATCAAGTAGAATATAAACTTTTATTATTTACTCAACTTACTCTACACAAACACAAAACGTACATTAACTTTTACTTTAGATTTTACAAGAATAACATGATTTTACTCTGAATTTCATTATCTTTTCTCTTTCCACCTTTTTATTTTTCCTCTCATTTTCACAATTTTATTTACTCTCTTTTACTCTCAAGTTTACCAATCACACTCGTGCTGTGTATTAATTATATGCAACACATTTATTATTATATGATTTTTTTTTCTGCAAATAAATAGTTAACACAAAAATGCGGTACAATCTTTTTTTTTTATGATGAACTGCATTTATTATGCATAAGATCTTCATATCTATTCACTCTTAGGGTGTAAATATATATATGCAGTATAGAGAGTGATAGGGGTTTTTAAGCCTTAGAGCAAATCAATGTAGTAAGGTAAGTAGAGTGTCAATCCAATCCTCAGAGCTATTGAAGAAAGAGAATGCAAGACATTGCTTAATCTAAATGCAATCAATGAGGGTTTGTTTTATAAGTAACTAGTAACAAGAAATATGTAAACAAGAATAACTAAGCGTTGGTTTCAATGAGATAAAAGAGCATATGGATAAGGGTATTGACTTTGGGTGATCAAGTTACTATCTAGGGTGAGATTTCAAGCAATCATTCATATCCTATAGGTCTAGACACAATTCTAAGCTAGTCCTTGGTTAAGGTAAAAGCTCATTTGCTATCAATCTTTAAACACAAATGGTCATTGGTCTAAATCAATCAAGCAATCATTGAGAACAAGTCTACTAACCATCTAAGCCTTCCTAACATGAAGTATCCTAGGTTAAGCAAGTAAAAAGCATTATTAGTTTGGTTCAGGCATTTCATCATACACCTTGTGGGCATGAAATGTCTAATGATCTAGTTTAGAAGAATTAGGTCTAATATAGCATTGGGAATAAGTAATAAGCATAGGACAAGAAGGATCTAACATTAATCACCCTAGATCATCACTTAATCAACCTAACCCATAAACTCAAAGAGAGTACTCACTAATCTTCATGTTTAATCTTAAACCCATGATGGATAGAAGACTAATCATGATTAGAAGAAAAGATAGACTCAAATTACTCAAGAAACAAAGTTTATATTAATCAAGGATTCAACTTTTCAATGTGTTTTTGAGAGAAAAGAAGATATCATCCACTTAAAGTCTAATACATATTTATATTAAGCTAAAATCCGTGACACGGCCGCAACCTCCTCTTGGCCGCGGCACTAGCCTGCGATGCACCCATTTTGGCCGCGGCCTTCTCTTCCCGCGAATCAGCTCGCGGAACCTCCCTGTCCAATTTGTCGAGAGATGATCGCGACCACCTTTAGCCCACGAAAGATGCCCACGGGCAGAGTCAGGAGGCCGCGCTGACGTTGCCCACGACCTTCATATCCCGCGGTGGGAGCCTGCGAAATATTCCTATACAATTTTTCGTAACACCATCGCGGGCATCTACATCCTGCTACGGTTGTCTGCGGCACCTTCGCAACCACCTTTAGCCTGCTACAGTTGCATGCTACTGCATCATTCTTCACTCCTTTGGATTTTATGTGACTCTTTAGGCTCCAAATCACCACTAGCACCACTCCAAACCTAATAAGGACATATGAATATAATATGAACCTAAAGATGCCTAAACCTAAATCTATATGATGATTTATGTACAAAATGAAATGCTAAAACTACGCAAATATGCCCCATATCAGAGAGACATGAGAGATACAAGAGAATTAGTTATGCGGTCTTATCTGTAATTTCTTGTTCATTGACAATTAATTCGCAGAATAAAAAATAATAATAAAGTATGTAATAATCTGTATACAAATCATTTCGTGTGTTAAGAAAAAATGTATTTCAAACAAGGAGAAAAAGAGTATGGTCAAATAATAAAGGCCAATGAATGATTTTTCGCCTATAAATACTACACATAACTTTATTTTTTATTCATGAACCATATAATAACACTAAATAGTTTTAATATAAGATTTAGATAAATATAAAAATATGTAGGCTATAGTTTATTTTATTTTTCTTATTGATAATGATAAACATAAATAAAGTAATTACAGCGGTGTAAAAAATTAGATATCCATTTATAATATTTTTATAAAAATAGTGTAAATGATTTTTTGTACTCTATTAAATTCTTATATTTATAACTCTAAGTATATATTTTATGGAAATCATTTAAATTAATTTATGCACTTAATATATATGTATATGTATTAGGTTCTTTAATATTTTCATAAACACTTATATATACACTTGACATATTCATATTTTAATATAATTTATGTAAAATGTATTTATATACATAACTTTGTATACTATAAGATATATAACTACACTAAATAATCTTATAATTTATTTGGATAAATAGAAAAGAAAAAAAAAAATATATATATATATATATATGTTATAGTTGATTTTACTGCAAATTCATTATGAGCAAAAAAAACATATTATATTTTTATTTGTATGTTGTAATTGTATTTAATTCAATATAATATTTAAGTTTTCATTCTGTTTATTAAAATAATAATATGTATCCTTTATACATAAGAATTTGTATTTTGGTTTAGATATTTAACTTACATATTTTTTCGTATTTAGTCAAATATGATATTTTGGTAAATTAATTTAAGCAGTTTGATTTGTATTTATTCTACATAATCTACTTGAACGTTGATCTATATTTGTTTTGATTTTTCTGGATCTGTAGATCTGATATTGTGAACTGTCACACATTCTAAGCCGTTAATCATCTAAAGAAAAACCAAAGTTTTGAAAATCAGATCGAATTCCGACTAGGTATAGCTACTGATTGATTGGTTGGATTGGTTCAACCGATCAAACCAGGTTTTTAGTTTTAAGAATTAATTATATGTAATAACATATTTACACTATATAGACTTCTTAAAATTAGTTTTACGTATAATATGTTCTATGTTATACTAGGAAAAACCCGCCCTACGGGCGGGTAAGCAAATGAAAAAAAACTATAAAATATATATTAATTAGTGCTGAGAATATATTTTAAACTTTTTGTTCATTCTATATCAAAAGTTAGATTATTACTAACTAACTTTTTTAATTCTTGTTGAAAATGATAATCTTGCTTAATTTAAAAAATATAATGAAAATGTAACTATTTTTACATTTTTCTCAATGTTTATACTATATTTATTATAATCAGCAAGTAAAATATATTAATTTACTCGAAATTACAACAAACCTATTTATGAATTGACCATTTTCATTTTTTAATGAATTTTCCTTATTTATTCTTTAAATTACTGTTTTGTATTAGATTGTATATTTTCGAATTACATTATGTATATAGATTGCGTAACATACAATGGTGTTTCATCTAAAATATTATAGTTAAGTAATGAAACAAATGGTTTAACATATGAAATTCATCTTAACTGGACATAATATTTCATATTATTTATGGTAACTTTTCAAATTTGTGATAGTAAATTCTAACGTTTACAAACAAAACCAAGAATACGAACGGAACACACGAATA